TACGCTCGCGCATTCTAACGGAAGGACATTTGTGAGCAGGGAATAAGTCAGCACAGAATTTGATTGTTGGCGAATTTCTGTAATCGTCCATCGTTCTGCTAGTGGTAAGCTAGGAGTTGTTGACTCGTCTCCGGCTTGTTTGGGGCTGAGTCTTAATCCGGTCAAAGAGAGAAAAAGAGTGTCTGGCAAGGTTTCCAATCAAAGCCTGATTTGTGAACTCGTGTCTGACATATTCTGCAAGTGTTTATATATATACAGTTATAAGCACCTTATAACTTCATCTGCGCTTAACGAGTGTCTTTTGGTCCACAACTTTCAAAACAACTGCCCCACAGACTGTCACTGATAACACGTAACCGCGCAAAAGAGTATAGAAGTATTTGACTGCACAATAAATGTCTCAAAATCTACCTAAGCGGTCCCTTCGGGATTTCCTGTCTTAACGTCATCCTAACCATTTCGTAATTGCGGCTTCTGTTCAAGCAAATCGACATTTTTTCTGGCATACTGACTGTATATTTCAACTGTACGTACTTTCCTTAATATACGCGCGAGTTACTAGAGTGTCTCATCGTGATTTCGCCCTCTGGTCGAAATCCCTGCGGAGGCAATAAATTTACCCTTGATAACTCGAACCATGTTTTGAGCGCTTATAAAGTCGGGAAAAAAAAACAATGTACTGGCGTCCGAAACATTGAATTTTGAATTTTCCATTGACGAGTACATGTTGTAGGCATATAGCTTACAAGTGGAGGTTAATGTTGTTTGTCACAACTGATCTAACCGGAAACAGCTTTGCTCCTCAAAACAGTTAAACGCAATCCGCATGTTCCATTTACGCTCTGTTTTGTTATGTTACGTTCTGATTTATAGTATAGAAGCATCGTTCCATTTTTACTTCAGTGATATTTCTACAGTGAAATGTGATTAAAATGTTCACTGTACAGTAAAAACTGGTTTCTCCCTTACTTCCGGCTATTTGTTTCGAGCTTCCGATAACTCGAACTTTTTTCGATTTCCCTTGAAGGTTCGAGTTATCGGGAATCGACTGTATGATGTAACTAGATGTACCAATGAGAATCTTCAAAACTATAAAAGCACAGGTAATTAGTCATGAATTAGTGCTTTCAAGTGGAGTTTAATGCAGCTAATTATGAACGCGCGCCTGTACAGTCAACTCTCTCTAAGACGGACACCTTTGGGACCGGCACTAGCTGTCCGTCTTAAAGAGATGTCCGTCTTATAGAAAGTCAAATAGAGGGGGCTAAGAAAGGCAGGGACCAACTCTAGGTGTCCGTTTTACAGAGGTGTCCGTTAAGAGAGAGTCGACTGTATACAGCTTCACAACTTGACGCAAAATGGAACGATCACGGATCATTTCAAAGAAGCATCGTGAAAGGCTCAGTATAAAGCGTCAGCATTGAATTCACGTTACTTTGTCAGTGATTTGTGGTATGTTTGATTTTCCCGCGCTCGGCCATGGCACTCGCGGAATGAATTTTAAAAACAGGTTCTATTTATTGCCGTATGATAAGGCCAGATATTTTTAGGCCATAATCAAACTATACCGGATATCTTTTCGTGCCGGCACGAAAACCTAGTATAATCTGGTATTTGACTTTTCACTTTCGAAATCGACGCAGCACATCTTCGCTTCGTTACAGAAATCGCGCTGAGCTGATCACCGTTTTCTTGTGTGAACAGAAGCCATATCCCGGCGGTATGGTTTTCGTGCCGGCGCAAAGACTATTTGGTACATAGCCTTCATGTGAAATTCGCCTTTATGGTTGACAATGCCTTTACCGTTTGTGCCATCCATTTATTCAGGGCGCAGGTGTTGCCGACAAAATACAAAAACATTAAAAATACTCCACCATGGTCTACCATCGCTGAGCTCGGTCAGAAGAAAACAGGACATTGTAAATTGCTAAAACTTTCTTTTAATTTTGATACCTTTTTTCTTTTCCGCTTCATACAGATAAGTCAGATTTTTCCAAGGATCCGACTACTATGGCAGTTTTTGCCCTGGTATTTTTCCTAATTGTTATCGCCACCTTTTACTGCTTGTGCGAGAAGAAAAAGGTAACCGCTGGCCAAGTGAAACCTTCCAAGCCTCCTTCCTATGAAGAGGCTACTTCGATCAAGACCACGGTTCCATTGCAGCCACTGATCAATGAAGTGTAGGACGTCGGCGCAGCTCTCAGTTTAAATCTCAAGCCCTAGTGTTCAACTTGACTTTGCTTTGGGAGATATTCGTTCTTAGATATTTGGATATGCCAGCTGTTAAGATAAACCATCTAATTAACTAGTTTTTATTATGACGGGAGATGGACTGCTGGTGTTTATCTTTCTAAACTGAAAAATTGCTCGTAGACCTCGCACATCTTGTCTCCAACTTGACATTGGTTTTACAGTCAACTCTCTCTAAGACGGACACCTTTGGGACCGGCACCAGCTATCCGCCTTAGAGAGATGTCCGTCTTATAGAGAGTCAAATAAAGGGAGCAAAGAAAGGCAGGGACCATCTCTAGGTGTCCGTTTTACAGAGGTGTCCGTCTTATAGGAGGTGTCCGTTAAGAGAGAGTCGACTGTATTTCAATTAATTTCTACCCTTAGAGTTAATTGCATGTTAATAAAGATTGAAAACCTATACAAAGGATAGAGTATTAAAGTAGGGAAAATCTTTAATTGCGAGAGAAAGAGAAGACGGAGAAACTAAGAAAGACAAAGCCTAGAGAAAGACAAGGGACAAGCAAGAGAGAAGTCCGAGAAAATGAGCAAGAAAAGGAAAAAGTACAGAGGCGAAAAAATGTAAGGCAGGGAACGAGAACTGTGGAGCAAACGGAATAAGGGTTTATAATTGAACTCTTAGTTAAAGAGTACAAGTAACTTTCAATAAATCGTCTTGTCCGTCTGAGAGACTATCATTAACTCCGCACTGTTGGAGCACATTTCATTCACTCTACCCCGGCGGAGAACCTCCCACTTTGCTTTCACAAACGCCCTCTCGACTTACCTATACAAAGATATCGCATTAAAAGTCGGTTCAATAATTATGGGTGTCTTTAGCAGCACTTGAATGAGCTTATGTAAAAGATCACCTCTGTAGCTGCAGTATTTAAGCTTTAAATTGCCAGAGAAATCAGGGGAAACTGGGCGCGCGAGTTGAGGGAGGGAAGGCAACGGCCGATTGTGGCAGAACTGTTTTGGGCACAACTGAGACAAATGCGCATAGAGTTTTACCGTTCAAGCCTAATATATAGATTTAGCCAGGGCTAAAAGCGAAGCTCCCGTTAATAAATTCATAATTTAAATCAGACAATAAACTTGTAAATCCAGAGATCAGTTCACATTCATGTGACTTTTGAGGCAAAGAACTTGAGCCTGCGGTCATTTGTAAAGTAGCAACTTGTCAGCGGATACTTTCAAAAAAAACACTCGAACCGGCGGTAGGTCGATACCTGAGCCCGCGATACGGTCAGGCGTACTGGTCAGCAGAAACACTATTTTGACAGCTGTCAATTAATCATAACATTGATGTACCAAACTAGCTAGAAAGTGTAAGATTAAACATTGGTATGCCTGTGGTGCGGAGGGACGGAAGGTCGGGTGGTCGGTGTACAGTCACGTGATTGCCGAATTTTCTAGGATGGATAGATTTTCTAAGCTATGGGGCTTCGAATTGAGCCCGTGATCAAATAAAATATCAGCGCAAAACTTTAAACACTACGTGACCTCAATGGATAGAAACATGAGCCCGCGATACACTCAGGTGATGATGGTCAGCGTATACTCTAGTTTGACAGCTGTCAATTAACTTTTATTAGAATGGCGAATATTCGAATTAACAGACTACGAGTGTCCATAAGACATATCCGTCCGGCGTGTAGTGGAAAATGCCAGATCGTGTACCTGAGAGAACCTGAGCCCACGTTATTTGTTTTCTGATAGTGGTCTGCACATGTCCCATTTTGACAGCTGTCAAATTTTTGGCTTGGCTTGCCAGTATAACTTTAAACGACTGTCAGCCAACTGACAGCCTTGCCCGTCGTAGTTTCGTTTTTATGTTGAATTGGTAAGTGTGACATATTATATCGGCGTATATGTAGGGGCAAAACGACTGGTCTTTCATCTGAGCCCGCGAGATGGTCATGTGTTAATTGCCAGCGGATGTCTGATTTTGACAGCTGTCAATCTAATAGTACTCATACCGATGGCTTACATAACTGAAAGGCTAATCAAGTTGTGCAAAATCTATTGTGACATTTGACATCGGGTTTCATGAAGTGTGTATACGGGTGGGCGGGCCTACGCTACGTCATAACCAAATTTTCTCGGATGGATAGTTTACCAAATTTCTTACCCATGGTGCGCCGCTGCGCGCTTGCTTCTTGCGCGCGAGAGCTCCGCTATAAATAAATAAATAAATATAAAACAGTACATACAGTAGTGGGACACCCAAAACTCTGGGCGCGGTGCACACCGCAAAAGATTTGAAATCACGTGTACGGCAAACACCAGATTCAAGTTCACGGCTTCTCATATTAGGAGATAAAAAGATAAAAACTGTACAAAATAATTCTTATCGATGAAGTAGAGATTTAACTACTTACTTTTATGTAGTCATATTGGTCTCTAAACAGCAAGTAAAGGAAAAACGTAAATGTGATTCTAAATCTGTAATAAAAACAGTTGTCAGTGAAAATGGAGGTTGTCGTAGGGAGCTTCATCTAGCCCGCATTTCCACACCCACAAATTTTGAAAGAACCCAGTTCTTTCCCGTTCCTTAATTCGTCAGAAAACACAATAAAGTTTACGTTTGCTTATCTAGCACAGCTTGAGTTCTCTCGATCGGAAACAAAGATTTCTTTTTGTTCCGTTTTGACTGAATGTGTGATCAGTTTGCGTGACCTGATGGGTCAATGACGACATCATAATACACCTAATGTATTCACGTACAGGGAATGTTATTTATAGTGTATCAACGAAAAACACGAAAGATGAAGACTTTTGTTGCCCCGATCCTGTCCGTTTTTGTTCTTCTTTCGGGAGTATCAGGTGAGAAATATCTTGAAAAAACGCAAGATGAAATTATAAATATAAACAGCTGTCTGACTTATTTGAGTAGTTATACGCCATGGTCTTCCGTATGGCGGTAGAATCGATGGTTCATTTGAATTATATCTCGCTAACATTTCTTTCTTTTGGTACTGATTGTTTCTTCATTGCGAAATAAGATTTTGAATTATCTTCAGTTCGTTTCGGTCGACAGTACATATACTTTTCTTTGTATTGCTTCTCTGTTGGCTCCGATGTGTCAAAAGATATGCATCCGTGAGTATTGACATGTCATACAGATAAGCCGAATTTTTAAAGACGACACGTTTTTGCTCAACAATCTAGCTATTCATAATCTCGTTAACATATATTTTAGTTTGTAAGCTACAATTCTCTACTTTGGCATTAAAAAATTGTTTGACTGAGAAAGAAAATGTAGACGCAAGCACATTCATTTTAGATTCGACTTCCTTCATCTTCATAATTTCCTGTTTCCTCCGTAATCGTTCGTAGCAGAATGTGCTATAGAATCGAGTTTTTGGGATCATTCCTCCATAAGCAAGTCCGTCCATCCAATGGATTGAATCGATGACCCTATTTCTTTGCTTTCGTCGCTGTGTACTTATGCAGAAAAAAATTCTAAAGCCATTAAAACAACAAAGACTGATAAATGGAGGTGAATTAACAATTTAAAATGGAGTCCGACATTGGTCGGGGGGGGGGGCGGGGGGTTAGTGTATGAGCTGCTTGTAAGATCTCTCCTAATTGGTCCGGCCTGGGTTACTGTTTATCAGGGTTAATTTATAGTTGTACAATGTAGGCTTAAACGGGCATGTGATGATCATTCAATAGTCAAGCTATACAAGTGAATGTAGTTAGCAATTCAGGTCACATATCAACGTTTTTTAATTATAGTAAAGAACAGTTGCCATTAGTTTGTTCACAATAAGCTTTTTTCCATTTTTTTCTTCTATCTTGCAAACAACAAAAACGCTACAATGCTCGAAATTGAAAGGAATATCACAAAAAGTTTTTTCAAGTGTTAAAATTTTCCGAGATTAGTTTAGAGATAAAAATAACCAGATTTCAGGAATCTTTACGGGCCCTTTTTCCGGATCACAACAACCTCGTGGGAAAAACGCCCTGGGGACGCGGTCGGAAACACAGACCTAATTAGACTCCACTCAGTCTTATTCTGAGCTTCCTGTTAATTATAGCCTTTAGTTGAGTGAAGTTTCACGTTAAAAGTATTTATTACTATTCTCTCTTGCACTTACTTATAACTTACATTCTGACTATGACCAGGTTTTACCTAAAATAATAGTTTTTATCTTTGTTTTCCTTATAACTTAACAGGTGTTAGACATGGTGGTGACCAGGCCAACGATACCTCTCCGGACATTTCTAACGAGAAGTGTCCACTGCAATTGAATACTAAACTTCCCGGCATGAATTGTTCAGTTCCTAACGACTACTTCTGTGGGCAAATCACGTGCTCAGCTCTCTTCAGCCACGTGGATATCAAGTTGACCATGAAAATTACCCAAGTGGATGATTCAGATTGGCCAAGTGGGTACATTTCGGCTTATATCAGTTTGTCTGTTCGAGACAACCTGACATGGTCGCACTCCTTCCTTGATGGCGAAAAGTTTAAGGTTCCTGGGTTCCCGCTGAAAGTGGAAGGTTTTGAGGGAGCTGATGTGTTTTTACAGGTCTCCCTAAAGAAAGAAAATCGCGCCATCTATTTCAAGGTAAGCATGATTGAGTATAAGGTCGGTTTCCTGTGCGTTAGAAACTTTCGTCGGGTGTGCGGAATATTTGGTCGTGAAAACGTTATGTAGACCCCTTCTCCACTCCCCGCGAACATAACTTCTTTAGCCCTGATGCCCACCCCAACGGTCACTATTTCTACTCTCCCCCAAACCTCCTCTTAAATAATCGAAATTTGCAGTCATTTGAGTGAAAAGGGTCAAAAGGCCGTTTTTTGAGCCCGGGAAGCTCGAAAATCACACCAACGAAGGAAAAGGAAAGGGAAAAAATAATAGAGCGAGGAGAAAGAGGGGAAGAGAAGAAAAAAGAGCAATGGTTGTACACTTAATTAGCTTTTATAAGGGCTACTTTGAAAGCTTTTGGCTGAAAAAAACTCAGTGTTTGACGGTAACGTTTTTAAAAATCCGGCTAGATATGTATGACCCAGAAAAAAAGCTGCTTTGTTCTTTAATACAGCAAATCTTGAATTTTCTAATTACAAAGTTATAACACTGCAAACGCAAGGCTGATACAATGGTTATAAGGTCTGCTAATAAGAGTCAAAAGCGATTCACGTAACTTTGACAGTGAATCAAAGGAAGGTGTACTGCGAAGAGGGAAGAAGCTGGAAAAGAATATATCAGGCTGACAATTTATGCTCATGATCGCTTTCTTTCTTCTCTTTACTTTTCTGTTAAGTTTTTATTCCACTGTTATCACGATCAGGTTGACTTACAGGCTATATGGAGTAACCTCACAACAGAGAAAACATACAGTACAACGATCTTTGCGGGAAAAACGCCAGACGATCCCATGTTAACCATTGCAGTTTGCCGTTTTCGTCCCTTTGATGGTAAGTATGATGTAACTAGATGTACTAATGATCATGAGCATCTTCAAAACTATAACAGCACAGGTAATTAGTGCTCACAACTGGAATTTTAACGCGGCTTCTGAACGCCTGTATTCAGCCGCACAGCTTGGCGCAACATGGTTGACCGAACACGGATCATTTCAAAAAAGCATTGTGAAAATGGCTCAGTATATGCCGGCACGAAAACCCTAGTATAAACACCTATCAACTATGGTAGTTTTCACTTTCGAAATCGACGCAGCACAGCTTCGCTTCGTTACAGAAATCGCGCTGAGCTGATCACCGTTTTCTTGTGTGAACAGAAGCCATATCCCGGCGGTATGGTTTTCGTGCCGGCGCAAAGACTATTTGGTACATAGCCTTCATGTGAAATTCGCNATCACGATCAGGTTGACTTACACGCTATATGGAGTAACCTCACAACAGAGAAAACATACAGTACAACGATCTTTGCGGGAAAAACGCCAGACGATCCCATGTTAACCATTGCAGTTTGCCGTTTTCGTCCCTTTGATGGTAAGTATGATGTAACTAGATGTACTAATGATCATGAGCATCTTCAAAACTATAACAGCACAGGTAATTAGTGCTCACAACTGGAATTTTAACGCGGCTTCTGAACGCCTGTATTCAGCCGCACAGCTTGGCGCAACATGGTTGACCGAACACGGATCATTTCAAAAAAGCATTCTGAAAATGGCTCAGTATATGCCGGCACGAAAACCCTAGTATAAACACCTATCAACTATGGTAGTTTTCACTTTCGAAATCGACGCAGCACAGCTTCGCTTCGTTACAGAAATCGCGCTGAGCTGATCACCGTTTTCTTGTGTGAACAGAAGCCATATCCCGGCGGTATGGTTTTCGTGCCGGCGCAAAGACTATTTGGTACATAGCCTTCATGTGAAATTCGCCTTTATGGCTGACAATGCCTTTGGCGTTTGTGCCATCCGCTTATGCGGGGCGCAGGTGTTGCCAACATAATACAAAAACATCAAAAATACTCCACCATCACTGAGCTCAGTCAGAAGAAAACAGGACATTGTAAATTGCTAAAATTTCTTTTTAATTTGATACCTTTTTTCTTTCCCGCTTCATACAGGTAAGTCAGATGATCATGAACGCCCATTTCATAAAAGATTCCAGGCGTTCCCGACTTTTTCCAAGGTTCTGATTGCTATGGCAGTTTTTGCACTTGTATTTTTCCTAATCGTTATCGCCTCCTTTTACTACTGCAAGAAGAAAAAGGTAACCGCTGGCCAAGTGAATCCTTCCAAGCCTCCTTCCTATGAAGAGGCTACTTCGATCAAGACCAAGGTTCCGATGCAGCCGCTGATCAATGAAGTGTAGGACGTCGGCGCAGCTTTCAGTTTAAATCTCAAGCCTTAGTGTTCAACTTGACTTTGCTTTGGAAGATATTCGGTTTTTGATATTTGAATATGCCAACTGTTAATATAAACCATCTAATTAACTAGTTTTGATTAGATGGGAGATGGACTGCTGATGTTTTTATATGCCAATGGTTTATTTTTCTGAACTGAATCAGCTGAATCAGCAATTTCTTGCTCGCACATCTTGTCTCAAACTTGACATCGGTTTTATTTAATTAATTTCTACCTTTAGAGTTAATTGCATGTTAATGAAGATTGAAAAGCTATACAAAGAATAGAGTACTGATAAAAGTACGGAAAACTACTTTAATTGCGGGAGAAAGAGAAGACGGAGAAACTAAAAAAGACAAAGCTGAGAGAAAGGCAAGGGAGATTCAAAAGAGAAGTCCGAGTAACTGAGAAAGAAAAGGAAAAGGAGCAGAGGCAAGAAAATAGGGAGCTTAATAAGCAACTACGACGATAGTCCAGTCAATCTAGGCATTTTCGAGGCTCAACATCAAACTAATTGCAACAGAATTGTTTTCAACGTCATTTAAGTAAGGGTGGCCTATCTAGCAACATACTAAAAATCCGCCAAATTCCGATCGGTAGAAGACGTCAAAATTAAGCGTTAAACATTTTGAGCTTTAAACACAGGCAACCCACGTTATGTGAAATATACGTTAAAACAAAAAATGCACAAAATGTGTTTGTTACTTTTATGGAAAAGTGAAAGAAGAAAGAATAACTGCTACCTAGTTTTCGGTGATAAAAACGAAGCGTTTCTTTTTTCAAAAGGATAAATATTAAACACGGTTGGCTTTTGCACAGAAAGCCCATGCTCCACTCTAGGAACCCCAAAATAACAGGAGGCTTACAGAAAACTACAACAAATTTAGTCGTAACGCTTTAAATCTGAAAAATGATGGCCGTTACTTAATCATTGGCTTTAAATATATAATGGTAATTGAACTAAGTGGAGTGCAATTTGGTCTGAAATCATACGCGTGATTTCAAAATCGAACGAGCGCGCAGCACGAGTTCGATTTGAAATCACAAGTATGATTTCAGACCAAAATTGCACGACACGAAGTTCAATTACCACTTTATTACATCCATTTTGAAATCGCAGAATTTAGTCAGTACTAATATTTTATTGATCGCGTAGCCGGTTTGTTAAACAGCCGAAACAAAAAGGCTTTTACATCTCATTTTGTATTCGAAACAGAAATGATGCGATATATACAACAAAAATAGTGCGATTTAAAACAGAAATGATGCGATTTAGAACATGAATGACGCGATTTGGAACAGATGCGATTTAGAGTAAAAAATGGTGCGATTTAGGAATAAATCACACTGCTGAGAGCCAATCAGATTGCACAGATAGCCAGTGATTTCAAAGTGGATGTAATAAATGTATATATTCTTTTTTTCATGAGATTTCTGTTAGCCGCAAGAGTAAGAAAAGTATATATCTAGTTGGATTTTTAAAGAAAGTTACAGCCAAAATAGAGCTCTCCCCTCCAACAGTTTTTTCTTTCAAAAACTATCTCCAAAGAAGTCAACATAGAAACTAAGAGTGCAGCCATTACTTTTTTTTTTCTCTTTCTCTTCGCTCTTTCTATTTTTCCTTTCTTTGTTCTTTTCTAGGGGATTTTCGGGCTCATTTTGCCTTCGGCTTTTGGTCTTTTACTCAGTCAAAAGACTGCAGTTTTCGTTCGGTACGTTTTCAAAAACCCAGCAAGATTAATGCTTTGGCTCTTACGGCTACCTATACATTTATTTTCGTTAACGTACTGACATCCTCAAATATACAAGTTTTACTTTTTTGAAGCTTTTCGTTTTCCTCTTGTTAAAAGTGAATTGGAGAGGAGGGGAGGATAGTTTAACTAATCCTTTACGATGCACAACAATGCAGCGTTTTTGAGCAGGTCAAGCTCCAATGCCTATGAATTTGATGAGAGGGAAATGCGTTTTCATTTAAGGAAAAGTGTTGCTACCTTTGCAAAAAAATTATAATGGTTAACGGAACATTCATCAATCAATCAATCATTTATTTTAACACGTTACGTCAAAGAGCTAAAAAAACTCGTTCAAAATACGAACGTGTATAAATAAAATCTATAGTAATTACAGCTATATAATATTATTCAATTTTAAAAACAACTCATGATCAATAAATATATACATATAAAAAACTTGGTAATAAAAACATAAAATATAAAAAGCTAAAACCGACTAAAAAGCCCACTAAAAACGTGACTAGGAAAACTATAATACTCGTTCTAAAAGCAGTTAAAAGCTACAATCGTGCACTGTAAGACACGTTCTAAAAAGCTGCAGTCGTGCAATTTACTTTTGAAGTCACTAGCATCACTTGAAAGACGCAATTGAGAAGGCACACTGTTCCATAATTTAGTTAATGAATAAGTGAAAGAATTCTTCTTAAATTTAAGATTAAAGTTAGGTAATTCCAAATTCAAGCCCTCTCCTCTTAGCCTATACGGTGTATGCCTGTATTTAAAAAGGCTTCCAATATAAGTAGGTCCCGTACCATTTAAGCATTTAAAAAGAAGTATTAACGCCTGGTGTGAGCGCCTACAATATAAGGATTTCATGCTAGCCGTAATGAGCAGCTCGTCGTATGACATTGACTTGTTGTGCCCGATTAAATGTTCTCAAAATATAACAGTTGCCATCTTCGAGACGGTTGCGTTGACCCGTACCAATGCCTACGAACAGTATTCGAGATAAGGTAATATAAATGCTTTGTAAAGTTTTATCATTGCATCATGCAGAGGCCTTTGCGCAGGCTTTCTTTAGTTGATCTGATATGTGTTCTTTATAGGATAGGTCCTTGTCTAGAGTAACTCCGAGAATCTTAATAGATCGGAGAAATTCTATTCTAGCATTATTAAGAAATAAAGAATAATGATAGGCANAAGCAGTTAAAAGCTACAATCGTGCACTGTAAGACACGTTCTAAAAAGCTGCAGTCGTGCAATTTACTTTTGAAGTCACTAGCATCACTTGAAAGACGCACTTGAGAAGGCACACTGTTCCATAATTTAGTTAATGAATAAGTGAAAGAATTCTTCTTAAATTTAAGATTAAAGTTAGGTAATTCCAAATTCAAGCCCTCTCCTCTTAGCCTATACGGTGTATGCCTGTATTTAAAAAGGCTTCCAATATAAGTAGGTCCCGTACCATTTAAGCATTTAAAAAGAAGTATTAACGCCTGGTGTGAGCGCCTACAATATAAGGATTTCATGCTAGCCGTAATGAGCAGCTCGTCGTATGACATTGACTTGTTGTGCCCGATTAAATGTTCTCAAAATATAACAGTTGCCATCTTCGAGACGGTTGCGTTGACCCGTACCAATGCCTACGAACAGTATTCGAGATAAGGTAATATAAATGCTTTGTAAAGTTTTATCATTGCATCATGCAGAGGCCTTTGCGCAGGCTTTCTTTAGTTGATCTGATATGTGTTCTTTATAGGATAGGTCCTTGTCTAGAGTAACTCCGAGAATCTTAATAGATCGGAGAAATTCTATTCTAGCATTATTAAGAAATAAAGAATAATGATAGGCACAGGGTCCGACAGATAATGCTTGAATCTTAGTACTCTTCACTGTTAAATGGTTAGACTCAAACCACAACGAAAGAGTCTGAAGATCTTTGTTGAAGGAAAATTCTAGAATGGTGGGAGATACATCAGACAGGTAGGCAGTCGTGTCATCAGCGTACAGCCGCAATGAGACATTGGGAACACAGAAATTCAAGTCATTAATGAATATGTTGAACCGAAACGGCACCAATAGTGAACCTTGAGGAACGCCAGATTTAACTGTTTTGAAGTTAGAGCATACGCCTTCTAATCTGACACATTGTTGACGACCTAGCAGGTAGGTGGACATCATCGCATAAGAACTTTGGTTCCAACAAACGTTTGTTTCAAGAAAACGAAATACATGGAAGCAGGTTTTTAAGAGAAAGATTAACTCCAGGTAGCCAAAACAATGCGTATGTAAAAATATATTGTAAGAGTCTATGGAGTAATGGAAATTCCCCACGCAGAGCATAATTTACGAAACTCAATCAAAGGTTAACATGTAGTAAGTTGAAGTGTTACACAACGCTCATCTGAAGAGAAACATTGGCTCCGCAAAAAGAGGTGAGCCATCAGAAGCTAAGTCAGGCAAGCTCATTAATGTCGTATACATGTGTCCAGTACTTTCGCGGCGCCTTCATTGACCGCTGCTATTATTTTCAGACGTATAGGATCCCATGATCGTTATAGAAAAAGAGGTCTTCATTTGCCAATGGACGAAAAAAAAAGCTGGTCAAGGAACAGGCTTGTTCTCACAAAAGAAAAAGTGCAAGGAGGGAATATAAACGCCTTGAGACAACAGAGCGATTACTTTACTTGTTCACCTTACCAAGAAATAAAGGGTGCCGCAGAAAATGCAAACTGAACACACAGATACACTAAACTAAATCTGAGACTCGCTATTAGATGAAGTTAACAAAAGAACAATCAGACTGCGCTTGGTTTTCTAGATTTCCCTTACAACAGGTTCGACCAGGTGTAATGAAAAGCGCTGATTGTTACGATCTAGCAAAAACCAAATAGACGGAGTCCTTAGCAGAATATTTTTTCACTCACATTGTAAAGCACAGAGTTTTCGATCACACATCATGTGTCCAAGGTTTGAATATAACTACTTCACAAAACTCGATTACGTACACAAAACGGGAATAGGTTAAACAGTTTGTACTGATACAAAACTATCTTCCATTGCACACATTTAGTCACACGTTATCCTTCAGTATGGATGCAAATTTAGTAGCTGACCGAAGGTGAGCAAAATATCAAATCAAACTGTTCACCATCAGGTATTGAAAAAAATACCAGCATGTAAAACTGATAACATACTTACTGCATTCCTGATATTGCGCAAAAAAAAATCAATTATTGTTTTTAACCATGTTAAAACGGACTAACTAATAAGTTCTCCTTAAATACCGTTATAGAAAAAAAAATTAAAGCTTGGAAAACAGAATGTGAAGACAGGCGAGAGGCTAGGTAGCCTGTGCAAAGCCGTCAAGTCGAAACACCTACCCTGGTGTTTCTTGCACATTAAGTCAGCGGTTTTTAAAATCAAAACTACCCGAAATACATTAGCGATGTTGTATCGAAAATTCTTGAGAAACAAAAAACACAGTTATCAGATGTTTTGTCTGAATTTGTGATCTTCCTGAAATTGGATTCCCTGTGGTGAAAGTAGGCTTTGGTAGACTGTGCTCGAAAAAAAGCATATTATGCTTTTAGTAGTGCTCATATTTGTTAGAAATTATACCAAAATTATTCTACTTTCTGAAAATTATGCTTTCTGTCACCGAAATTATGCTACTTAGATTTTACACTGATCCAACAATTAAATGGAGTTGAAAAAAATTCTGTTGCAGTTAGTTTGACGCTAAACCACAATTTGACTGGACTACGACCACAACGACGACTTCAAAAAAAACAATAGGTTTAATGATGAAAACAACAGCTCTGCACGTGTATCACGCTTTTTAGTACATTTCTTTGACGTCCACTGCACGACTTCGACGTAAAACCTCCTAATTTGACGACTTGTGGACGACGTGAACATACGACGACGAATTCTCCTTCCTCTTTTTGATCCTGAATAAAATCCTTAAGAATTCAACTCCAGGAAAAGTCGCCTGCATTTGATATATTGAGCGGGTCCAAATAGACGCGATTAAGTTTGAAAGAACGCAAATTCATTTTTTGACGCCGTTTTCACTGCCTTCGTCGTCGTCCTTGCTTAAGGTCCCTAATGTACGGTAGAGAACGAGTAAGAACTGTGGAGCAAACGGAATAAGGGTTTATAATTGAACTCTTAGTAAAAGAGTAACTTTAAAGAGTAACTTTGAATAAATCGTCTTGTCCGTCTGAGATTTTCTTATTTATAATTACTTCACACTGGTGGAGCACATTTCATTTACTCAACCCCGGTGAAGAACCTCACACTTCTGTCACAACACCATCTCGACTTACCTGTACATAGGTATCGCAGTCGAAGTCTGTTCAATAATTATGGGTGTCTTTAGCAGCACTTTGAATGAGCTTATGGAAACCCTTGTATCACCTCTGCAGTTGCAGTGTAGCTTTAAGTTGCCAGAGAAATCAGGGGAAATTGGGAGCGCGAGCTGAGGGAGGGAAGGCAATGGCCCAGTGTGGCCGAACTGTTTTGGGCACAACTGGGACAGTCGCGCATAGAGTTTTACTGTTCAAGCCTAAAAAAAGAACGTGACACTTTCTAAAGCATACAAAAACGCTATTAAATCACACGGCTCTTTCTTCATAACCAGCTGGCGTTGACCACATTTGCGATATCCGATAAATGTTATCAATGCTGCATGGATGAGCACCAGAAAAAGGAATGTAAACCGAGAAGCCCTGGGGCGAGGTTTCGTTTTCATCGACGGATGACATTCGCTAGACTAAATTTCCCCTTATATCCTACACTTGCCTAGAAACAGGCAAATGAAGACTAGAACTTAACGTCGATTGGGGTAGGTATACTTGCCTGTAAAATATTAATTACTTTAAATGAAAACGCATCAATTATTGTATTCGGCTTTCGTATGATTATAACACCCTCCTCGATCTGCATAATTCTTCAATAACCATTTCATTTTCTCATTCTTTTTATGCTTTAGGATTTATAGTCAGAGCTTCCGTACAGCCGCCTTCTCCCTACTAGCCTGCTGGCAAGCGCAAATAAGGGAGGGGAGGGGGGGAAAGCGCGAAAGGGAGAGGGGAAGGGATTCCTTACCCTCTCTCCCCAATTTCCCCTCTTTTCTCCATCCTTCCAATCCCCTACCCTTATGTAGGCTATATCGCCACATAGTTACGAGTTGTTTCTATCTGGTACCTTACTAGTTACCAGGCCAAACTCAGCAAGGAAGAAAACACTAACAAATCCACGGTATGGCTGGTCCCTTACACATGTGCACAGCCATATATCCCGGGAAGTCGCAGCCAACGACAGCTGTTTCGTCTTTATTTAGACTCGTCAGCATGGCTGCTTATGCTTAAGATACTGTTAATACCTCTGAGTTTGGTAGTGCGTACTTTCTCGCTGAATTTTAGTCCTGTAGTAACTATGCCTCCTCCCTCCGAAGTACAAGTGATTTGCTAATGAAACAAATATGACATCAGCAAGGCATCAGCCAGAATCGATACTAAAAACAGACTCAAAAGATGATGGAAATGAAACCGTTCATTCTTAGTCTCTTTTATGCGGTCTTACACGTGCGCAGCCGTTTTTGGTTTCGTCACGCAATGTTGTGGGTAGGAGAGCACTCAGTTATTTACTTAATATGATTTTTTTTCTCCTCTGTTATTTGTGCAGAAATTCATAATTTTCGATTCTAGTTTGTGAGCTTTGGCATTAATTTCCACGTAATCTTATAAAATTCGAAGCAGTGTTAGTAGCTTAATACACCACTTACTCCTGGGCCATAAGCAGAACATCAGCGAGAAAGATCTTTGAAAAGTAGCGCCGGGGACATAAGTGATCAATAGGACCTAATCAGAAACTGGATGATAATTGATCTGGTCATTTCTCGGGATTCTTTGTTTATAGCGTTCCATTAGCAGTTATTTTGAACGTGAAACTTTAAAAAAGAAGAAAAAAAGAAATTTTCCTCCATTTCGGCTGAAACAGGGCATGTGACTTGGTTTGACAAGTGAATCCACCCTTTTGTTACCTTTGCGCAATTCCGATTTCGTACATGCAAAAACTTTGCTGTCTCCTGATTTTGCAATTCAGCGCCATCTACGACTTTCATTTACTGAATAGAACTCAGACGGGTTAAAAATTTGCCAATACCGAAAGCGACGCTTATTTTATAATAAAGGAACTTGGACAATTTGCTCGTCAGGTATAACAGGGGAGAATGCTTTCCTCTTTAGTATCCGAGCATGTGCAGAGACCCAAAACCAATACAGGGTGCGTCTTTTAATTTTCACGAAGTAGGGAAAGCTAGGGACGGATTTCCACTGACGCGAAATTTACATGTAAGTACGCATGCAAATTTTACACGCGTAAATAAAATAGAGGCAATGTATGGAAAGTCGCGCGTAAACGTAAAAGTTGAGCGAGGTTCAACTTTTTTTTTTCCCGCGTCCTTGCCTCTATATATTTTTTTTTTCCGCGAGTAAAATTTACGTGCATACGCACGTGAAAATTATGCGACAGTGGAAATCCACCCTAACGTGAGTCATAAAAAGGTAATGGTTTTGTAGTTATAGGGTATTATCCTTTCTTTCGTTTAACTTTATTGACTCACCTTGCTTTTTGTAGCGCCACGAATCCTTGATGTAAAACAAATGAGACTAAAACCCAATCTAGCTGACAATGATAGCGCAAATACAATCTGACTGAGCAAATACCTGCTAATCTAAAGATTGTTTTTTAAAGACATGTGACATCTTTTACACATTGTAAACTGTTGGTTTCGAAGACAAGCGTTTACTATTCTAAGTCACTGTTACTACACTAGCTCTACAATTATTTACAAAAAACATAAAGGATGATTGAAATCTCTCTGCTTCCGTGACGAAGTTGATGCAAGGAGATGAAACGATTTAACCAGCTGAGGTCAGAGTTCCCCTCCAATATAATCTGTCACGTCCCTGGAATTTAACTAAAAATGGTGTCATTTCCTATTGCACAATTTGACGGTGAACCTCTTGTATATAAACTGATAAGCGATTGCTATAGACCTATATCTACAGTGAGGTTATCGCATGCGTAGTATCATTTGCTCGGAAAGTAGGAGTTAAGTATCACATCTGATTACTATCGAATTACATTGTCCTGAAAGACATGAAATATTTCTCCCCATTTCTCCTGACAATTTTTCTGAGCATTGCACTTTTCAAGGAAATTATTTGTGCCGGTAAGTTAAATATGTAGCCTTAGTTTTTGCGTGTAATTGCAGATTTGGCAGTATCACGGGGGAGACTTCTCTGTGATTGGAAACTTTGCAATGACAAGAGTTACTGATTATAACCTTATGCCACGATGCGATTTCAAAAGTAAGCAGCTATCGCTTTACTAAAAGTCTACTATGTCTTATTGTTTGTAATTTGAGTGGTACATTTCGAAGTCGATAATCTTGCTTTCAGTCTGAAGCACTTGTCTCTCAATTAATACTGAGCATTTAAGACGGAGCAGGAGAAAAGAAAGTTAAGACTGATACTTTCAAACGTTTTTCAAACATCATGGTGCCAGAGATTTAGAATCGCTTTAACAAACTACCGAAGTAGAAAAGTGGGATTGTTGGCACAATTCAATGATAAAGAAAATTCGACTTAAATGAATTGGATTTATTTTTATTTTGTTTTGTTTTGTTTTCTCTTCAGATTATGAAGTGCAAGTAACAACGGGAAACTCGTTAGGTGCAGGGACAGATGCGAAAGTGTACATAAAGATATTCGGAGCGAAGGAATCAACCGCTGAGCATGAGTTGGAAGCCATCCATAAAGATCCTTTTGAGAGGGGAAAGTCAGTATTTGAGTTATTTTAATGATCTAGCTCTTTACGGTTAGAAGTTTTTTTTTTCTTAACAAAAGCATGTTAACAAAAATAATTTTGGTTCCTTGATGGAAGTTTTCTCTTTAAATATATCAAAACGGCACATGAGTTTCAACGCTTTTCTAATATTTGCACTAGTACTCATATACATATTTCACTGAACTCATAGCAATGAGAATTTACTTGGATATTTGGTTCAAATTATTTGGACTTCATTGGCCTTTTCTGTATAGGATCTGGATTATTGATGGTCACATCATCATGAGTGATCACGTGATCACTGAAGAATGGCGTGAAACGCCAAAGGCCTTGGCCCTTGAAGCGAAGGATTTGATTTCTCTGGTCTCCAGCCAAGATAATCTTTAAAATTGTTAGGGATAATAGAATATTCTGTTAAGAAAAAAATACCGCTCCGCTTTTTAACTATCCACAACCTATAAAGACGAAAACTAATATTTTAGTTTTTAAAACGACTCTCGATATTGTTCATCTTATCATAACTAGAAAAGACACCTTCTACTTAAGAAATACAGCCGACGTTGGAACAATTACAGCCATTGCCATCAAAAGAGACGAATCCGGATGGTTTCCTAAATGGCAGCTTGCACGCGTAAGTCGTGAACCTTTTATGTCGAAGTTTTCACACCTTTCAAAATAGCCATTTTATTTGTATGCGCGAGGTACGAGAGAAAACAAGAGAATCAGTGTTTAAAGCCTTGATGTGGCACATGAGTAGCTTGCGAGCAGGATCAGAGCCTGATCGGCCGGGAAAATCAGTTTTGCCGGCCATTCTTCTGTGGTCTACATTTGTCAGTGGTATCAACATTTTTTAAAAATCTTATTGTAACCCTTACCAGGACTATCCCTCAACCAATATAATTTGTTTGCTTGTTTGTTTGTTCCTTTATTCTGCAGGTTTTGGTAAAGGCAACTAACTCTCGCAAATGGTCACTTTTTGATTACAATGGCTGGACTAAACCAAATGTTTGGTTTACAATAAAAGGTACAGCTTCGTATAAAAAATCGGAATGAAATACATAAAATTAGCTAGAAGGAAAGTTCTTCATTTTCTTTGAAGGCCAAGTTAAACATCTATAAAATTATCAGGGGTACAAACGAAGTCCTTAGTAGTTGTGTTATTTCAAGGAGAGTATGATCGGAGAGCTAGTTATGTTAGGCCAACTCTTATGGTTTTTATTTTGTTTGTGTAATTTTATTTTGATGGCGAGGCAATTTTTTCAGCCAATTAACAAGAGTAGTAATGTCAACAAGAGAAATCATTGCAAATTACTTTCATAGTGAATCATAACTATCAATTGGTAACAGAACTTTAATCAACGAGTATGATTACAGGCTGAGTTTGACTCCACTCATTCCTAATCAATACAATGTTATTTTCTGAGTTTATCGTAAGAAGGAGGGAAGCAAATGCTTTTGAGGTTTTCAAAGATACCGCCCATCTCTGATTTCTTTTAGAATTAGAGTTGATTAAGTGAAAAACATCTTACGAGGAAGACGTTTCTCAGTTTTCAGTAAGTGATACCGATGACTCGGCACCCGAGTGCCTGTGTCACCGAATGAATGAAAAACATCATTCTTGTATATTTACGAGCATAAAATTCATGATCACATTTATAGTCTGTCATTGGAAAACTCCTGTTCACCTCTTATCCTCAATTTAGTGTTGGTGTCACTTTTATCCGTTTGGTAACGCCTTCCCAATAAAGAACAGACAAGTTATAGGTCGACTAATCTAAGGTTCTCTTCCAGTTACCTGTGAACCTGGCTTTCGAAAAAATCAAGCAAGTGGAATTTGCGAGGGTCGTAAGTAAACTTCTAGTTTTTAGTATTAGAATTTCACAAGCTTTATCATTCTCTCTTGGCTTTATTTATGAAGTTGCGACATATTTTTCAAGTCGAATGTACAGAGTTTATCCTGGTTTAAGGCCTGGGTCAAAGGCGTGTTCTGAGCATATGAATGAATGGCAGTATAAATGAATTTTTCCCCAAAAGTAAATCTTGAGGTTTTTTGTGCCATAACGTTTAATTATGGTCATGTGACATGTAACGCGACCAAAAATTGAAAATAAAGGAAATTGGTGAATTGGTGGCGAATTTGCTTTGTTTAGATAAACAAAGGATAAACATACCTAGCTTTCTACGTTTGGAATGAACGTACGTGAAGTTTAAAATTGAACTTTTAAGTCATTTAAAATTAAATTTGGGCATTTAAAATGACGTTTTCCCTCATTATTTTTTATTGAAGGGCAAAGGACGGGCATTCCAAACGTGAAGTGTTTGAAATATTTAGTATGAATTAGAAAAATGTTATTACTTGATTTCTTTTCTTAAACCGGCGACCAATTGATCAATAATTTACGATTTTTAGCAAAGTGGTCACGTCACATATCACGCGACTTATTAACGCAACATTTATACTTTAAAATTTTAAGGACAATGAGTTCTTTATGTGTGCCAAATTTGATTCAGCGCGATCATCTCTGCCGAAGTTACAGGCAATAATTCATTTTCCACAGGTAAACCCCTTAGTCCCAGGCCTCAAACTACTTGAGAAGTTCATACCCTACTAACGGGAACACCATTCTCTCATTGCAGCAGTCTGTGGTTCGAGACCAAGCACGCGATTATCAGCTGGCTCCGTAGCTCCACAAGGCGCCTGGCCATGGCAGGCGATGCTGAGATTCACACTTCATGATCGTCCAATGTTTTGTGGAGGGTCTCTTATATTGCCTCAGTGGGTGTTAACAACAGCGTATTGTGTTTATGGCAAGAAGGCATCAAATGTCTTTGTAAGGTACAAACCAAACCCAAATCTTTATATTTTTACTGTTGAAGCCCATTTTTCAATTTGGTGTGGAAAGCAGTTCATGCTAGTTTTCGCTTACTGTGCTTTGTTATTAAAAATTAGCCCTCTCTCCCCATCAAATGTATAATACGTTACAATTTCTACCATTCCTGATTTAGTCTGATTTGATATTCCCAACACAGACTGTCGGTTCCACTCTTGCACTAATTTTCTATGACGAGTTTATTTATCCACTTTCAATTGGCCCTTCTCCCTCATTTTTCTTTAAAAACTTAACTGAAAGAAAATATTAAACTTGATATTATGTATTAAGTTTAAAAAAATTCCATGTCATCATCCTTTCTTTGTCATTAATAGACATTTTCTTTTATTAACAGACTTGGGGCACACTACAGAGAGAAAACTATTGGCACAGAGCAAGACATCAGAGTGGAAAAGATATTCATACATCCCAAGTATCATGTACCAAACCTTTTTTCTAATGACCTGGCGTTATTAAAGCTCTCGCAACCCGCCAGTTTATCAAATGGGACAAGTTTAGTTTGCCTGCCAAATAAGGAAGTGCCTTTGCCCACAAACCAATCATGTTGGATCACCGGATGGGGCTACTTAGATATTGTTTCAGGCGCCCTTCCTGAAAAGCTAAAACAGGCACAGATTCCGCTGGTCTCAAGATCCACATGCTCCACTGATCACCCTACGAGAATTATTGACGAGTCCATGCTATGCGCAGGGTCAAATATCACTAGGGCCAGCGGATGCCAGGACGATACTGGCGGGCCTTTGGTGAGAGAATTCCGAGGAAAATGGTACCTTGAAGGTGCATTTAGTTGGGGCGCCAACTGTGACCCACAGAAACCATACAAACATCAGATGTACTCTAATATTAGGTACCTTAGAGACTGGATTGATAACACAATAGCTGACAATCAGTACGCATGATGCCATATGTGAAACAGGATTGTTATTAATGATTTACCTCAATAGTGTGCAACCTTAAAAGGAATTCAGGTTCCTTTTTATTAAACGTAATACACTGAACACAGCACACATGTGGGTCTGTTGTACGTGTATCAGAACATCTCAAGTTTTGCTTAATTGCGTATAATTTTGCGGGATCAATTTTTTCCTGATGGGGTCATGAGATTTTATAGGATCAGGAATCACAATTTAGCCCCTAGAAAAAAAAACAGCTACTCCTGGGTGTGGCTCGCTCCAAGCAAAGCACTGCGCACTCGCAACCCGACATCAAGAAACGCAGATATGGAACAAAATGGAAGGTAAAGGCTGAAAAGGTCTTAAAGCCCACACAACCCAAGAAAAGGACCGTCTTAGGCAAAGCCTTAAGTTTAAGACATTTCTCAAATCACTGACTCAGTAAAACCCATTTCCCGGAGGTCAACTAAGCTTTGTTTATAATTAAACTGATGCTGAATCAAAGGATACTTGAACATATTTAGCTCATGGAATCGATAGAAGATTCCGTTCTACACTTTTTCGTCTGTCAACCAAGTATGCAGATGGGAAGAAGACATTTTATATTGGTTTTACGTATCCTATCACAGTGTATTTTCTAAATAAAAGTTCAAAAAATGGGCTTGCTACACATCTTCAGCTCGGGGAAGAGTTGTCATCAAAGCAAGAATGTTGTGTTGCACCGCGAGTGTAAGGTGAAATAAAACGTGAGCGTTGCTTTCCGTATCACCTATCTCAATTATGTGATAGGTGATTTAAAACTGTTAGCAACAACAACGAAAACAACAGATTTTTCAACTGAAGTTAGTCTCACTGAACCATCCGCCTCTGCCCAGTTTACTAGACAGGTTATATGGTCTGTGATTGGCTAAGAAATAAACTTAAACCAAAGGAATCATCAAAGCATCAGATTTCACTTTTAACCTTCAGCTATTATCAGTCTGCAACGTATTGAATGACTAATAAATAATTAAACTGAAAATGAAACTTTAGTCCAATATAAGATATATGGAACCCTTGCTAGCTTCCTCTTATTCATGTAGGTTTGTTTTACAAAAAAATGAAAAGAAATTTGCATTTGAGTGGAATTCGTTGACGCTCGAGATTTTGCCGGCTAACTTATGAGTGTAATATTGCGTCCACTCAATGCAGGTTTCAGCTTTTCACTCGCGTGTGGATCTGTGAAATGTGTGTACAACGTACATCATCACCGTTTTCTTTCGACTAATCTTTTATTCTTTTTTTTTTGTTTTCGATGTTTATAATTTTAAAATGTTTATGGGTGATTTTCTGAATATAAACTATATATATGACACTTTCTCAGTTGATTTTGGTGAACAGGCTACATTATTCAGGGTGAGCAAGCCGGCGATTCGCCTTCGACCGTCTGAGGGTGGGTTGATCTTTTCAAGCAATTCTTACAACATTCTGTATTTTTTCTTCTATTTTTATTACTTTCTCTTTCCTCTACACTACTCAACGTATGCAAAAGTTGTTATTCAACCCATCGTGGTATACTTGGGTGTACTGGTTTATCCTTAATGTCCATCATATTACACACGGACGTACCCGTTTATCCAGTTTCTGAACTGCGCTACTCGTGCAAACACAGTGTAGCGCTCTTGAGCAGAGCATCTTGGGGATCCCCAGCTTACAGCGCCTTGTAAAAACCATTTTCCATTGGCTGACTGGCAGACGTAAGGACCACCGCTGTCGCCATGGCAACCACTCAAGTTGGTTCCTTCCTTGCCTGCGCAAATCATTTGGTCGGTGATTCTCAGTCTGCCTGCGCCTACAATAAAACATCAACAAAAATTAAATCAGAGACATAAGATAAACCGTTTTTTGCCTACTGGTAAGAGTAGGCTTACATCTTTGCCACGTAGTTGTACTAAGGCGATGACAAAGATTTTCCAAAATTTTTCTGCCGTTTACCGTGTCTCCTGGGAAAGAGGGAGTCTACATTTTTTACGACTACGGGTGCAGCTAATTTATCCGTACTCATACAAAGATATGTTGTATCTTACGGTCTGTAATACTTGGGAATTGGAAAAAGTCGTTCCATTACATTCTTTGATTTTTTTTTTTTAATGTATCTTTATAGGTGAAAAACGCTGCAATCCATTTATTTTAACGTTCGAGCGCACTAAAGATTACACAATTCTAGTCTTTTTTTGTTTCTTTGTGTATTTTTCCCACTCGTTATCCTCAGTAGCTTATCGGGTAAAAGGCAAAGCCTAGGCAAAACATTGTTTCTCAATGTAATGGGTCTGTGTTGGTGCATTTCTTTCCTCGATCACTGGATACGTCTTTGCCTTGTAACTAAGCCACATAGATACTCAGATTTTGAATCAGTAAAATAAGGCAAGATATTCGCATTTCCGACTTTGTTCATGTACCGTGTGGCATTACCTGGTGATGCGGCCAGTTTCTTCGCGCAAATATCGTTTGCTACTGGAGGCAGCACGGCCTGCTGCAAAATACGATGTGAGGATCCCGGATGCTTGATCTTGCCCCAGCCTGTAGGTTCAAAAATGATATTTTGAAGTAGAAAATCCATGAAAAGATTATTGGGGAAGTACCTCTCGTTTCTGCACGGTTAAAACAACTTTTTTACACATAATGCATGATCCCTTCAGCTTAGTTTTGCAGAAGATAGAAATATGTCATTAGTCCCATTTGAAAGCAGACATGCGCAAAACTAAGTCACGAAAGAGGACCTGTTCATGATAACAATCAAAGAGATTAATAAACTTTCTGAGAAACTAACAGTAATAAAGAAAATTACGAAACAAAATTCCGTTTTCATTACCTGTAATATAACATTTAGCAGAAGAAGGAACGTTTTCCTGGTGTGCAGGCAAGCAGACTGTACCAACTCTTGCACTTAATTTGGCTGGTCGTGCAAGCTGTATCAAGGCGATATCGTTGTTGATTGGGCTTGGATTGTTATAGCCCGGATGCCTGATTACTCTTTTTCCTGGAATATCCTCTTCAGTTCCTTCATTGCTATATCTGTCATGGTCTCCCAGTCTAATAGTGTAATACGAGCCTGATCTGGTTTAAAAACAAAATTAAAAGATCGATCACTCGGAGAGCCCAAAGAGGTTCATTAGCCGATGGCATTTTTAACTGGGTGTCTGCTGCTCTTTCATTATTCATATGATTATAACTTTTCTTTTCACCGGGTCAGTGTTGTTGTGCAGCTTACAAACGAGGAGCTGAATAGTCTGCGAGGCACAGACCTAGAGAGAGAAGCGACGACCGGAAAAATACGTCTTCGCTTCGCAGGCCAGGAGCTGAAGGGTTCGCTGACGATTTTCATTTGTGTCAGTCATCAATTTGTTTGCAATATCAAAAGTTTTTTTTGTGCAATGTCTCTTTCCACTCAAGATACAAAAAACGGCTCCCGCGACATGTTTTTTGGGGTTACCCAGGTAGAAGGCGATTAGAACTCCTACTATATCTTATCAATTATTCATTGTACAGTCAAAGTTTTTGAATTACTATACTGACCCAGCGGAAAAGTGCTTATACAATCTCCGGATAATCTGCATATAAAAAACGTTCGTGATGATGCTTACAAGGATGAAATGCAGTGTGCCGCTGTCACAATCCAGTCAGGAGCAATTAAAGATCCACCGCAGCTAAACGACTTTGAGCTTCCCCTCAGAAGAGCGATCTTAACAAAGTAATAAGAGCAGAAAAACTCTTAAAAGAGGGCTTTTAAAAACATTAAGTAAATGATTAATTGTTTCAGCTGAAGGTCATACTTTGGTTTTGATTTTGGTCAGCCTTGAAGGGGTGATGAGTGAGTGAAGGGGGAATTTCACATCTACGTATAAACACGTAAACTGCAGCCTAATTGAGCCCTGGGATTATACCGATCTTAGTAAAGGGTTTTAGGAGGGATTACAAAGGGAGGGGCTTATTACCGGATTAGAAAAAGCGCTTTGAAACAAGCTAAAGCAGTGCTGATCAAAATACGTTTTGCATTGGTTTTTGATTAAGCTTCATAACGTCATAATAGAAGGAACTCATTTCAATACATTTGGAGCTTACAATAGGCAGTATGTTTTGTTTTTGATGGGTCTTTAACTGGCGGGGGGGGGGGAGCTTATATGAGTGGCGGGGCTTTTAGATGGCAGTTTACCCGACGGTAGATATAAACAGTCGACTCTCTTAACATTATAAGACAGACTCTATAAGACGGTATCAGGGGCACTCAACGGGTACTGATTTCGGTAAATATTTGTTCGGAAGGAAGGTCGGATAGATTTTTCGAATAATCGGAATATATTCTTCGGCTTTTTCGGCATTCTGTTTCGACCATTCCTCAGAATAAACTAAGATTTTTTACTTTTTTCCAAACAGAGCAAAGGTTTCTGTCTTGCATGGCTTTTAGCGTTTACGAAGTCGTTCGCGTGGCTTGTCTGTCGCGTAGTTGGTTTGTTTACCGGGCATAAACAGATTTCCAAGATATTTCGGAAATGTTTGAAGATCGAAGAGTACAAGGAATGTCGCAACCACTTTTAAAGACGGTCGACAGTATGTAGACGGTGTCTGTCTATAAGACAGCCGTTTGAGCAACGGACATTTAGAATTGGTCCTTTTAGGTTCTGCGCATGCAGTCTATATCTGTACCCGTTTTCAGACCAAAAAAGCGCAAAAACCCCACCCTATTGGGCGGCACATACCTATATGGCGTATATAAGGGAGTCCCCCCCCCGGATTCATTATGTCATACTAAACAAAAATACACAAAAATACTAACGATCGCTTTCTTTACAGAATAAAGGTATAATAAGTGTGTAGTGTTTCACAGAATAAAGTCATATCATATATATCCAATTCCGAATAAGCTAATATCAGGAGTCCATAAGGGCTCCTGCTAATATAGAATACCATCATCACTTAATCAGAACAGAAACTCCAAAAAACGGCTGAATTCTTCCTGTTGAATATTGCCTTTTTTGGCCAGAATGAAAAGCTTATCCATAACCTAACGACTGCAGGACACGATGAAAGAACTGAACTTCAGTGCGTCATTTTAGCTCAGAATCACTCGGCTACACCAACTCGGCTAAATACATGTTGCGTCTTTCAACATGCATGATAAG